TTTTGTTCGTTCCTTCGAGCAATATCAAGGGTAGCTTATTTCGAAGAAATCGTTGCCACGCTGTTAAGGGAGCGAGAGAGTGAGATAGATAGAGAGGGGAGAGATCCGATGGTCGCGAATTATTGTGCACACATAGAGACATACCACATGGCGATTAATTAAAATCTGAACCGATAAAGGGGCACATTTGTCGATAGAATGAGCTACATATATCTATATGTATATAGATATATAGATACATATATAGACAGACAGAACTAAATTACTTCCTCTTTTTTATCGAACGACTTTGAACGGTGGTAGAAGAAACGTTTCCAATTTCGTCTGGGAACAAATGATGGAAAATTCGATCTGTAATAAAAGGCAGTGGCATTCCAGCTTCACTGTAACGTGAAATTTTAGCTAGTCTCCGCATAGACAGACCGTAAGAGGAGTGAGAGAGAGAAAGGTGGATCCATCGTCATTAGAGACAGATCCCTCTTTTTACTCGTTTCACAGGCTTCATGACCAATTCCGCAGGACCCACCACCAACGACGTCGGATCATTCTTGTTAACGAGACTTTTTTGCCGTGCCTCCAGGTGTCGTGGATCAAGCGGAAGAACGTTCAGGAGTTACTGACCGTAGGACTGACAACGTACGCGAACGACGAGCGGTTCCAGGCGATTCATTTTCACCACAGCGAGGATTGGACTCTTCAAATAAAATACGTTCAACCGAGGGATGCCGGATTGTACCAGTGCCAAGTATCCACCCATCCACCCACCAGTATATTTCTGTTCCTCGAGGTTGTCGGTAAGCGTGAAATTAAGCACCGATACATAAGCTATTCGCGTACAGCCTATCTTATAATACCGTCTATTCCCCTCTTTTTTTTTGTTTTTCCACTCCGATTCTAGCACACCTCTGTGTGCTTGTGTTTGTCAGCTGAACGCGTCTATTTTCCGGGAAATTAATATTCCGCGATTGTTTCTGAATGGAGAGAGAATGAACGTGAATGAACATCGTTAGTATCGCTACTTTGGTGGAAAATTTGAACGATGCTCGGGGAAAAAATTTGTTTTCTATTTCTTTCACGAGAGAAATTATTTTCTAGTTGTCCTAAAATTTAACTGGAACCGAAAGCCTGGAACCTTTTAATTTTACGAAAGAGAGAGATAGAGAGAGAGAGAGAAAGAGAGTACGTGTGTACGTATGACGGTAGGAAAATGACTGATTTTCTATGAAAGAAGCGTGCATTTTCCGATTGGAACCAGCCCACATTTGATTTTCAACAGGCACACATTGACCATGTTGGCGACGCGACGCGGCGGGCAGGAGGCCGCTGCCCAATTTTCCCGCCGCGTTTAATACACCTTTCAGCGTCTCGCGTGAATTTCCGGTCCCGATTGAAAAACCGGGGCTGGCCTCTCAACCAGGCCGGATGGAATAAATTAAATTCTAGTTTATTCTGTCGAGTGGTTAATGAAATTGAAATAAACGTTTCGAAAGAGAGATTCACTCGTCGTTGTTCGTTTGCGCGTTCCACGATCATATTCGACAAGCACGATAGAAATATCACTTCGATTACGCGTATCGATCCAACACACGATTCCATCTCTCTCTTTTTCTCCTACTTTTTTCGTTTTATCGATATGTACACCCAATCGACACACACGTAGAGTACCTACTCCACCTGTGCCACCCGCACACACACACACACACAGTCACACAGGTTCCATAAAATATAATCTTCCTTCTCTCGATTTTATTACTGTTTCCTTCGAATCTACCCGTGTTTCACGATTATTTTCACCGTCTGTTTTCCTACCGTTTTCGCAATTACGTCACAGCGGCAATAACGAATATTACATAGCACAAGGGGAGAAGGTTTAAACGTCACCGATACAACAGTCGTAGAACACGGGTCCCTTTCGTTGGATGGTGGTGTGTGTGTGCGCGCGCGCGCGAGCACGAAAAGTAGCAAAGCTTTCTGCGAAAGGGGGCAAGTAAAGAGCATCGTCGCTACTCAGAGACAGTACTACACTTTTGTCCTGTTTTCCTGATAAGAGGCCTGCCGCTATCGGAATATCTACAGCAAACACACTTTTTTTCGCCTTATGTACTAGCTGCAGAAGAAGCAAAGGAAGAAGAAGAAGAAGAGATAGAAAAGGTTGGCAGTTTAAGAATTGCCGCATTTCTTCCATCTCAGTTCGCCTATTTCTTCCACAATTTTCCTCTCTCTCTCTATCTCCGACAGCTTCTTCATTTTGCTCCTCTTTTTTCCCCTCATTTCTTTTTCTTCATTTTACTTTCACCCCGTATTTCGCAGCACGCTCTCTCTCACTTGCTCTACTTCTGTTACGATTTAAGTGTTTACATTTTCCTCCCTATTTACGCAGCCTCCGCGTGTCGAGGAGAGAGGTCCAATGGCACTCGAAAAAGGGCGAAAGCACTTTTATCTGGATTTTATTAAGCCGACAGGCCGATCAATAGCGAGAAAATGCTTTTTTTTATCAGACGCAGGAGGCAGAAGTTTCGTGAATTACGACGTTCGGTCCCGGCGTCGCCATTTTAACCGACGTTCTACCATTCCCTTTTTCTCTATTCCTCTCTTTCTCTAACTTCGCTGGTATGTTTGCGTATTTGCATTTAGATTCCAGTTTTTGGAAGTACCTCTCCTCTATATCTATAGATCCGTAAACATATATATATATTAACACACACACACACACGCGTGTGTGTATTGTATATACACGTACATACGCACGTATACTCTATGCACGTGCGTGTAGGCGCATGTGTGTGAGTCTCGCTATCTAATTTTGCCCGGGTTTCCGGGACCGTGTTTTTGTCGTGACATCTGACGGATACGTACGAGAGCATTTCTCAGGTACTTTTAATATTTATGCTCCCCCGTACCTTCCTCCTTTCCAACCCTCTCGTACCACCACACGCGAATCTAGGACGTGTAATATTTACGTTCCTTCTTCCACGCTTGAAATTCATGGGCCGAGATTTTTCTGATCTGAGGGATGATATATAACAGGATCGCCGTGGGGACGTTTCGATTATGGCATTTTATATGCTGCTAAATGGTCACGGTGGTTTATAACACGCGACATGGACGAATGTAGGTCTCTCTACGCTGTGAGATATATTAGACGAAGTAACTGTACGAGCTTTCCGATGATCGATTCGAATCGATACGTTAATTAATCCACGTAGCAGCTAGTAAGCTAGTTTCGACAGCTATTTTGATCGACGTGAATTTCGAACTCC